GTCCGCCTCTCCCAAAGCTGGGCGGGCCGGTGGTGGTGGGAGAGAGAGACTCAACTCTAACCAGGGGAGAGGGGCTTGAGTCCCAAGTCGGTCACCACCTGGCTCCGTGTAGCCCACAGTGGCCCCGAGTGAGATGACAGGAGAAGCATGAAGGACGTAGAGACTGGACTTCTCCACGCAACCCCTCTGACTCATCCTGTGACCCCACCATCTGCTTCGTTCCCGGAGAGAGGGACATGCCGCCCGAATTCCGATTGCGTGGTCTTGGGCAGGTGACTTCACCTCCTGAGTTGTCTCCTCCAGTGGAAACCCTGGCCAATCACAATAATGTTACCTGCCTCACTACCCAAATCGTAGTTTTTAGAAATTCAGTTTCAGGGGAGGATGTGGCGCTTCTTGAGGTAACAGCGGCCCCTGGCGGCCTCGCCCCACGACAGGGCACAGACCGGCACTCACTGAGCCAGGAGCGGGAAGGCTGCCTCTTTGCGGGGAGCTCACCGAACCCCAGACCCGGAGGGCCGGAGACAGAGGGGGACAGCGCGTCTCTGGCCCTTCTCTCCCGGAGCGGCCTCACCCACGCTCATGGCCCAGCCCCCATCTGCCCCGCTCTGCCTTCCTCCTTCTAAACCGGAGCCCCGCCCTGCACACCTCCCCAGGCCACAAGCAGGGCGTCTTCAAGGTGCCCCCCTCTCCATCCCCACATCTCTTTCCCCCTCTCCACTCCCGGGCTCGGGTCTCATCATGTTGAAGCGTGGTGGGGGCATCGGCCACATGACGGGCCATGCTGCCTGTCTCTCCCACCATCCCCCGCCCCCCCACCCCAGTCCGCAGTGATCCTCCTAAGATGCACATCTGACCAGGTTACCCTTCAACCGAGGTTCAAGCCCTTCCATGGCTCCTCGCTGCCTTGAGGGCAAAGGCCCCCCTTTAACCACACTGCATCCTGCTTTGCCTGCCTGTCTCCGGCTCACACTCTTTGGCCCCATGTGTCCGATAGGCCCAGACGCTCCCGGGGACAGGGGTCCACATGAGTCCTCTGTGATTCCTTCACAATATTTACTCAGTGCGTAGGGTGCGCCTGGCACTCAGGAGGGCCTCGTGAGTACTGTTCCGATAAAAGGAATGAGAAAACCCGGAGGGTTACACTGACGCCTCCAAGTGGTCTAGAGGGACTGGGCTCTCTGTTCAGTGCTCTCTCCACCCTACCTGCTGTCTGTCCATCAGCCCCCGGCCAGGAGAGAGAGGGCCAAGCCGGCCCATGCCAGCCCCATGCCTGCTGGCTGGAAGGAGCGGGACAGGGAGGCAAAGGGAGGGGCTAAGTTAACGACCGATGCCCTGGGCTCTGCATTCTGAGGCAAAGGAGGTGGGAGAGGAGAGGTAACCAAACTGAGACCCTCTGAGACCTCCCTGACCCCCTCTCAGGTCCCTTCAGGGCATCTGGCAGACCCCCTCCGAGACTCTTTGTCCTCCTAGGAGGGGGAAACGGGGGTGAGTGCTGCTTACCCAGTGCTGTAGTCAGCCCCGCTCAGGCATGGACCTCCCCTGGGGGGGGGGGGCTCCTTTCATGGAGTCCTCTGGGCACAGGAAACCTCACCTGCCCCTCCCTGGGGCCCCCTCTATCCCCCGCCAACCCTGTCCACAGTCTGTTTCCCTTACTCAGCAAGGCCCAGAGGGCAGGTAAGCAAGCTCCCGGCCCAGGAGTGGGACACCAGTGTGCCCTTCAGGCGGACCCCTACCCCTGAGGACTGGTCCCCTCGGGAGCCCACACCCACTTTGCCTTGGGGGGCATCACACTTCCCCTCTGAGCCAAGGAGGGAGAAGCTGCAGCCTGCCTTCCAGGGCTGGCCTGCAGCCCAGCGCGGCCTTCCCCATGTAGACGGGGTGCAGAGGCCTTCCCGGCGGCTCTGGGAACGCTCTTCAGGGGGTGTGTGGTGCTCAGAGGCTGCCGCTTTTAGCTTTGGAGCTTAGCTGGGATAGGAGTATATTGAGAAAGTCTTCATGAAACCTTACTCCAAGTTCTTTGCCGCCCCATCTTCTTCCTCTGAGATCAATTCCAACCTCTCAAGGTCCCTCTTAAAATATGGTATCCAGAACTATCCTCCACGTATGGAGGGCAACGGGGCTGTCACCTCTGGTCCGCACACCCTGCGTCCGTTAATGGCTTACTTGGCTGGGCAGCCATTTTACAGTGTTGGTTCATGACAGCTGTGGTCTGCTAAGACCCTCAGGCTGTCTTCAAGTGGATCCGCTCTCCTCTTCACTCTTCCTTTCTTAGGCTGTTGCCTTTGAAACCAAAAGCAGATTTTTACGTTTATCCCTATCAAACGTCATCTGGTTCATTTTTTCCTATTTGGCCAAAATCGAACTCTCAGTTCTTGCACGACCTGTATATTGGGTAAATGTGGCTTCTAGGCTTTCACCCGGGTCTTTAACAAAGATCTGCGACAGTTAACACAGAGGACAGAACTCTGCAGGGAGGCCCACGGAGCCTTCCTCTGCTTTCTGAGGAACATCTCTGGGGATGGCCACTGAACTTTGTGTCTGCCCACTGTAGTATCATGTGGCCCATGTGTCCTGGGCCCGGGCACAGAAGAAGTGCAGCCAAAGTCCTCACAAAAATCCCAGTAATCCAGTGCAACCCCAGGGGGAGGGGGAGAGGAGGCCATTTGGGCCTCCATGCGCCCACGCCCTTCTTTTCCTGAATTGGTTATTGCTTCAAATATCACTTATCTGTTTACAATTTGCTGGGCATCGATGTAGCTTTGCCAGGCTGCGGTTGCTGGAACCCACTGTCTCCTGCCTTCGGAAAATCAACACCACACTCCTCTCAACATTCTAGAGCATCTCTGTTCCCCGTGATCCTCAGAATCACCACCAGTGTTCATGGGACAGTTTGCTCCAGTGTAATGGCTTTTGTGGGGATGGTCTTCAAAGACCTCCCCACACGTGGTCTTGCTTGATCTTCGGAACAAGCTTACGGGAATGGGTATTAACTTCCTTTACCAACCAGGTACACTGAGGGTCACTTGGAGAACTTACGCAATCTGCTGAAGGTCATTTAGCCAGAAAGTGCGAAAGTCAGACGCGGGGCTCTCTCCTGGACACAGGTCTTGGGAGCCCACAGCCCGGGCCAGACAGCAGGCTTTGTGGGGTAATGTGAGGATGGAGAAGCCTCAGCTCTGCACTGACCCTCAGCCAGTCCCGCTTTCTACACCCACTGGCCCCTCCCGGGGCCTCCGGTCCACGATTGGTAGTGGATTCCAAAGCCCAGCTGCCCTGGGGACAGGGCTGGGGGTATTGGTGGGACAGCCTTCTGGTCACTGACCCTGTTCTACCCCCACCCAGAAATCCTGTCCATGCTCTGTGCTCCCCAGCTCTCCGTGGACACTTTGGGAGCTAAGTACTGTTTTTGTTTTGTTTTGTTTTTTTAAAGTGTTTTTTTTTTTTTTTAATTTGACAGAGACACAGCGAGAGAGAGGGAACACAAGCAGGGGGAGTGGCAGAGGGAGAAGCAGGCTTCCCCCCCCTCCCCCGGGGCAGGGAGCCCCATGAAGGCTCCATCCCAGAATCCTGGGATCATGACCTGAGCCGAAGGTAGACGCCCTACGACGGAGCCACCCAGGCGCCCCGGGAGCTAAGTACTGTAATAATCTCGCTATATTTATCTCCACCAGCTGACCCTGAGCGTCCATCACTGCTGCCTTCACAGACCAAACTATGAGCTCCTCTGGCAAGGGCCGACACGTAGCAGGCACGCGGTTAACACTTCCTAGCCTAAACTGGGTTTACATGAGCAGAAATTCCTTCCCCAGAGATCCCCTCCGTCCCCTTCTGGCCCTGCGGCCCCTGACTCTGCATTCTCCACACCTTACCTGTCCCTCACTTCCCAGCTCAAGGACGCCCTCCTCCAGAACACCTCCCCCACTGCTCCCACCGCAGTGAGCTCTCCGCTTCCAGAACTGCAGAATCCTCAAAGGGATGTTTTGCGGATTCAGTCAGAGCGCGCCAGTAAGATGTTAGAACACGATCTTGGCCCCTTGCAAAGGCTCAGGAAACGGGCTGGTTGTGATGAAGCAGGGCCTCTTTCCGCTTGCTTCCTCCTCCTGGCCTGGTCTGCTCACCACCAGGGGGCACCCTCTGCCCATTAAACCCTCCCGCCCCCACCCCCACCCCACACACCGAGGGAGGGATGGGGCCCCTTTGCCTGAGAACTGGGGGAGGCCTTGGCCTACCTGAAACGTGGGTTTGTGAGCCTCGGGTCCTAGGGAAGAGCGGTAGGAAGGATGGAGGTGAGTCGTGGGGCGCGCAGCCCTCCCGGGACCTCCTGGGTTCCCGGTGTGTGCACACGTGCTGCGGCCTCCCAACAGAACATGTGTGCCCTTCCGTCCTCTCTGCGCAACGCCGCCTTCCCCCGGCATTTCTATCTGCAAAACAGACCAACGACCAGCGGCCCCGTGCGATGCCCCTCATTGCTCCCATCTTATGGATGAAGAAACCGAGTCTTGAATTCCGGAAGTGGTACCGCTCCTGGGTGTGCTAAGTAACAGGGACTCGCCCCGTCCCGCCCCCTCCCCCCGCCCCCAGGCCTCGGTCCCCGGGGGCCCCCACCACAGGCCCAGGTCTGGGCACGGCCTCCTTCCTCGGAAAGCCACTCGGTGGGATCGGATTCCCAGGCAGGCGTTCAGCTCGGCTCCAGGCTCCAGGCTCCAGGCTCCAGGCTCCGGCACAGCGGGGCGCACGGACGCAGGCCGGCCCCGCTTCCCGAACTCCAGGGGTTAAGGCTGGGGTCCCGCCCCTTTTCCCGCCTGGCTGGCGGGAGTATGAATAGCCTCGTTCCCACTCCCGACGTTCAGTCGCTCGGCTGCTCCTCGCTCCGCCCCGCCATTGTCCTCGCCGGCCTCCCCTTTCCCTCCCCGTCCGTCCTAAGAGCTTTGAGAGTTGCTGGCTTCTCCCGCTGCCCCGCGTCTCTCCACCTTTGGTGGGTCAGACTTGTGCGCAAGATGGAGGGCTGCTTGGGGGAGGAATCTTTCCAGATGTGGGAGCTCAACCGGCGCCTGGAGGCCTACCTGGCGCGGGTGAAGGCCCTAGAGGAGCAGAATGAGCTGCTCGGCGCGGAGCTCGGGGGCCTCCGGGCACAGACCGGGGACGCCTCCTGGCGCGCCCGTGCCGACGACGAGCTGGCGGCCCTGCGAGCCCTCGTCGACCAGCGCTGGCGAGAGAAGCACGCGGCCGAGGTGGCGCGCGACAACCTGGCGGAAGAGGTGGAGGGCGTGGCAGGCCAGTGCGAGCGGCAGCGGCTGGCGCGGGAGCGGGCGGCGGCCGAGGCGGCCCGCAACCGGCGTGCGGCCGAGGCCGAGAAGTGCGCCCAGGCCCGGCTGAGCTCCCGGGCGGCGGAGCTGGAGCGCGAGCTGGAGGTCGCGTGCGCTGCGCACGAGGAGGAGCGCGCCGCCCTGAGCGCCCGGCCCCGCGCCCCCAGCCGCCCCGCCGCGCCCCGCGGGCCCCCCGCGCCCGCCCCGGAGCTGGAGGAGCTCACGCGGCAGCTGGGCGACGCGTGGCGCGGGGCCGTGCGCGGCTTCCAGGAGCGCGTGGCGCGCATGGAGACGTCGCTGGGCCAGGCCCGCGAGCGCTTGGGCCGCGCCGTGCAGGGCGCCCGCGAGGGCCGCCGGGAGCTGCAGCAGCTGCGGGCCGAGCGCGGCGGCCTCCGGGAGCTACGGGCGGCGCTGGAGCAGAGGCTGCAGGGCGGCTGGCAGGAGCGGCTGCGCGCCACCGAGAAGTTCCAGGTGACGGGGGAGGGTCGGGGAGCCGCGCAGGCCCCGGGGGGCCAGGGGCTGGGGAGCGCGGTGCGGAGTGCGGCTGCCCATTCAGGGGCCACTTCCTGGGAAGCCCAGAGTGGTGCCGGAGGCCCTGGACTCTCCCAACTTTGTCTAGCGTAGGGTGGGGTTGGCGGGGTTCAGAGCCGGGCCGAAGAGCACACCCCTGGCCGGCGCGCGGGCAGGCGAACGACCGGCCGAGCGGCCTTCTCACTGGCCGGGCCGCGGGCTTGTCCCCGCCTCTGCTGTCGCTCAGAAGATGCGCGGGCCACCACTCCCAGCCCCCAGCTCCCCCAGCTCCGAGTCTGCCCCCTTCCTAACCGCTCTCCTCCCCCCCCCCCCCCGACAGGAGGGGGTCAGGGGCCCTCGAGGTGCGGCCACCAACCGGCCCTCCTCCCTTGTCCCAGCTTCTCAGCTCCCCCCAGCACATTCCAGAAGCCGGGACAGCTGCTCCCCCTCACCCCGCGCAGATGGGACCAGCAGCTGGGAAAACAGCCTCCCGCCTGGGCCAGACAGAGGTCTGGCCACGGCCACCTCCCACCCCTCCTCTCTGAGGAGAAAGATTCCAGAACATGTGGGAAGTGGAGGCGGTGGGGGCCTGGTGTGAGGACCGACCAGGAGACAGTGACTGGGACTCTGCTCTGGGCCTCTTGATTAATCGTTTTTCCTTCTGCGTTCACTTTCTTTCCCTCTCCTCCCTGTAAGCATCTCCTTTCCTGCCTCACCTCCCCCCTCCTGTGGGAGCTGAAGTCCCCTTCGCGCTCGGCATCCTCAGAGGAGGAGCCGGCCCTTGGGAGAGCCCAGGAGGGCCACCGGCCTCATCTCGGGGGCTCCAGAGGGGGCGCTCCAGGCAGGATGGAGCGGGTAGAGGCAGGAGTGGGTCAGGGAGCAGGCTAGTTAGCGGGGGCCGCCGCCTCACGGGCTGCCTCCCCTTGTTCTGCAGCTGGTGGTGGATGCCCTGGAGCAGGAGAAGCAGGGCCTACAGAGCCAGATTGCCCGGGTCCTGGAAAGTCGACGGCAGCTGGCGCACCTCCAGATGTCCCTCAGCCTGGAGGTGGCCACATACAGGTATGGGTTCCTCGGGCCCACCCAGGCGCATGGATGCACACACCCTTGCAGGCCGAGCTCTGCCGAAGGAGCCCAGAGCCATGGGTGGTGGTTACTGGGCTACCGCTAGGTTCTGTGACTCTGGGCTGATTCCTACCATACCAGGACGTGTTCCACCCGAGCCCACCTGCTCCCCCGTGGGTTCGGGACCAAAATAGTCTCCTGTGCCTGGGAAATCTCCCAAGGAGAGGTGAGGCTGCTGAGTGGGACGGCCTCAGGAGAGAGACCTGGACGCACGTGGGGCCTCTCCATCCAGACCCCCGCCAAGGGGCTGAAAAGCCCCAAGTGTGTGTGTGTGTGTGTGTGTGTGTGTGTGTGTGTGTGTGTGTGCACGTGCACGTGCACACTTACGCTGAGGGGATGATGTCCTTGGGCCAGCCCCACAAAGGAGGAATTGCAGGTTGGGGGTGGGGGCACCTGACCTGGGCCTCGGTCTCCTTGTCTGGAGATAGGAGATGGGCTAGGTGACATCCGAGGCCCTTCCATCCTGAATGTCATGGGCCTGACTCCCCTCGAGCCCTAGCGCCCTGGCTGTGCCCAGCCCTTCTGCTGATCACATTTCCTGTTGGCTCCAGCAAGGCTGAGACCAAGGAAGCGCTGCCTTTCTCAAAGCCACAGTCTCTTCTGGGAAACTGGCCTGTCCGGCTGAGGACCCAGTGATGGAGCCTGAGGACGGGGCTTTGCCACAGGGTGGGGACGGGGGCTGGACATGCAATGAGGACAGTACCCGGAGAACTCACAGGCCAACTAAGACAGGGGCCCCGGGACAGGATCGGGAGGGCAGGGGAGGCGGAGGCCCGAGAGGGAAGGTCAGTGAGGGTCTCGGGATGAGGAAGAGGGCACTGTACCTCCACGGGGCACAGAGCTCAGAGAGCAGGTGCCCCGTCAGCAAGGACAGAGGTGAGACCATGGCAAACACTAAGCCGACTCAGAGTCCTTGAGAGGAGCAGGATGTGCTGCTTCACCCCTGCCCCTCTCCGTCCCCCCCTATTCCCCGTGGGGCACGGAGGCAGGGTCATGGACACAGAGACCTCCATTGCCCCGAAAGGCTTGGGATCCAGAGCACTTAGAGATCCCAGGATGAAGGCCTTGACCCCCAATCAAACCACTCAGGCGAAGGGTCTGGGCAGGCTTAACCACTGGTTTTTGAGGCATGAAAAGGATTTGGAGAGAGAGAGCGAAATTCATTTGCTTTTGTCTGTGACCAGCTTTGGGGCCCCTGGGGGAGGAGGAGGGAGGCTATCCCATGGGAACGGCCTGAGAATTCCCACTCCCCTCCCCCCCCCAGGAGCCCCCTACTCAGACCCTCCAGAGGGCACTGTGGACAAAGGCAGCAATTAGCATGAGAATAGGCCCCGCCGGGAGGATGAGATCACTGGCGGGGATGGGGGGGCTGTGTGGGTGTGTGCTCACTGCGCGAATCTGCCCTGGGTCCCAAGGAAGCCTGTGATGCTGTGGGGTGTGTCCATGGGACACCCCACCCCGGGTGCAGCCAAGTGTAATCCTGCGCGTGGCCTTGAGCCGCAGTGGAGGCTCAGCCTAGTTCTCCCTGGCTGGCTTGCCAGAGGCCTGTGGGCGGTGGCTGACCCAGCATTTCCTCCCTCTTCCGCAGGACCCTCCTAGAGGCCGAGAACTCCCGACTGCAGACCCTCGGCAATACTTCCAAGGCTTCCCTCGGCTTCCAGGGTAAGAGGAGGGGCCGCACCCTCCCCCCCACTCTCTTCTTCTTTGCCCTTTATACCCCAGAGTGATTCCTCTCCTGGGAGACCCAGTCTAGGTCTTGACTCCTTGGCCTCCTGTAGCAGCGAGTGTACTCTCCGCCCAGCCAGTGGAAGGTGGGGGCAGGGCTCATGGGCGCTCTTGCCAGAAGTGGTAGCTGCTTGGAAGCTCCAGGCCACCACCAGTCCCTACTGACGCTGCTTCTTCCCCTCTGCCTTTCCAGACCCTAAGCTGGAGCTGCATTTCCCTGGGACCCCGGAGGGCCGGCATCTGGGACCTTTGCTCACTGCCCTGAGCCCCACTTCCCTCTCCTTGCCCCTGCCTGATACCCTTGAGACACCTGTGCCAGGCTTTCTGAAGAGCCAAGAATTCCTCCAGGCCCGTACCCCAACCTTGGCCAGCACCCCCATCCCGCCCACACTTCTGGCTCCCTGTGCCATTACGGATACAGAGATCAGAGCCCAGGATGCCCCCTTCTCCCTGCTCCAGCCACAGATTGGGAGGCAGCAGGTTCCAGAGGCTCTGCACTCGAAAGCCAAGGTAGCCATCCCTTCCAGCATCCTGCCAGGACCAGAGGAGCCTGGAGGCGAGCGACAAGAGGCCAGTACTGGCCAGTCCCCTGAGGATCATACCTCCTTGGCCCCACCCCTCAGCCCTGACCCCTGTAGTTTAGAGGCCAAAGGTAGAGAACCCGGTGGGTCTGGAATGGTCAGCAGATTCCAGGAGGAAGGTGAAGGGCAAATCTGGGGGCTGGCAGAGAAAGAAATGGCCATAGAGGTAAAAATGGTGAACAGTTTGCAGCAGGAACCACGGCAAGAAGACGGGGGTCTCAACATGAAGGAAATCCAGGACTCCCAGGGTCCTTTGGAAAAAGAAACTCTGAAGTCTGTGGAAGAGGAAACTCAAGAGCCACTGATGTCTCCGGAAAAACAGAGCCATGAGGCTCTGAGATCTCTAGAGGAGAATCCAGAATCTCTGAGGTCTTTAGAAGAAGAGAATTTAGACACATCAAAAGGTCTAGAAAAGGAGAATCAAGAGCTATTGATGTCTTTAGAAGAGAAGGATGCAGAAGTAGGGAGACCTCTAGAAAAAGAGACTCTAGGACTACTTAAACCTGTAGGAAAAGAGGACCCACAGACATTGCAATCTCTAGAACAGGAGAATCAAGAACTAATGAGGTCTCTTGAAGGTAATCTAGAGACAGTTTTATATCCAGAAAAGGAAAATCAAGAGTTAGTCAGGTCTGTAGAAGAGAACTTTGAGTCAACTAGAGATTTAGAAAAGCAGACTCAAGAGCCACTGAGGTCTCTAGAAGATGAGAATCTAGAAAACTTGAGACTACTGGAAAAAGAGAACCAAGAGTCTCTGAACTCTCCAGAAGATGAGAAGCATAAGACCTTGAGACCTGTAGAAAAAGAGAACCAGGAACCACTGAGGTTTCTAGAAGACCAAGAGACATTGAGGCTTCTAGAAAGAGAGAACCAGAGGTCCTCGAGGTCTCTAGAAGAAGAGAAGCAGGAGACAGTGAGACCTCTAGAAGAAGAGAACCAGGAGCCAGTGAGGTCTCTAGAAGAAGGCCAGGAGACACTGAGGTTTCTAGAAAAAGAGAACCAGGAGCCAGTGGAGTCTCTAGAAGATGAGAACCAGGAGACATTGGGACCCCTAGAAAAAGAGAACCAGAGGTCCTTGAGACCTCTAGAAGAAGAGAACCAGGAGCCAGTGGGGTCTCTAGAAGATGAGAATCAGGAGACATTGGGACCTCTAGAAAAAGAGAACCAGAGGTCCTTGAGGTCTCTAGAAGGCGGCCAGGAGACATTGAGGCATCTAGAAAAAGAGAACCAGGAGCCAGTGAAGTCTCTAGAAAAGGAAAACCAAGAGACATTGGGATCTCTAGAAAAAGAGGACCAGGAGCCAATGAAGTTTCCAGAAGATGAAAACCAGGAGACATTGAGATCTCTAGAAAAAGAGAACCAGGAGCCAGGGGAGTCTCTAGTAGAAGAAGACCCGGCAACATTGAGACCTCTAGAAAAGGTGAAACCAGAGCCACAAATGTTTCTTGGAAAAGACCAGGAGATATTTAGAGCTCTTGAAAATGAGAATCAACAGTTATTAAGGTTCCTAAAAGAAGAGAGCGTAGAGGCAATGAGATCTTCAGAAACTGAGAATCCAGAGCCACTAAAGTCTGCAACAGAAGACTTAGGAATATTGAAATCTCTAGAGACTCAGGAGCCACTGTGGTCTCCAGAAGAAATGAATCAGGAGACAACGAAACCTCTAGAAAAGGAAATTCAAGAAGCACTGGACTCTGTGGAGGATGACCGAGAGACACCGAGACCCCTAGATAAGGGGGACCAGGAATCACTGAGATCTCTGGGCGGGTGGAACCTAGAGACTCTGAATCCGCCAGAAGAGCTAGGTCAGGGAAGTCAAAGGAACCTGACCGAGGAAGAGACCCCTGAGCAGACAGAGAATCCAGAGTCGCCGAGGTCTTTGGAAGAGGAGGGACAGGAGCTGCCACTGCCTGCCAGCCAGCAGGGGTGGGAAGATGTGGTGGGGGACCGAGAACTGGAGCAGGGTTTGCCCCCTGGCAGGGCAACGCTGGACGTGAGGGAGTGGGCTGGCTCCGCCGGGAAGGAGTCTGTGGGGCAGGGACAGCCACGGCTGGTGGCCGCAGGGGAGGTCTGGAGCACAGGCTCAGAGGGGCACTCAGGGAGCCCTGAGCCCAAAGAGCAGAGGGTCCCAGTTGAGGGAGCCGGGGGGGAGGGAGGCACTGAGGGCCTCCGGGACCCCGAAGGGCAGCTGGAGCAAGTGGGGGTGCCAGGCCTCCAAGCTCCCCAGGGAGTGTCAGGGGCGAGAGAGCTGGTGTTGGAAGGTAGAGATGAGGCCCTGGGGGGTGGCCAGGCCTCCCCAGAGGTCACTTCGGGGTTAGAGACAGCTGTGGGCGAGTCGGCTGCAGGAAGCCGGCAGGGACCAGAGCAGGAGGTGGTGGGGCTGGAGGACCCAGGGCCCCCGGCCAGAGAGGAGGGGGAGGCGTCACCCATGGGCGAGGAAGGTTTGGAAGCAGAGAAGATGCAGGGTTTGGAAGGGCCCAGAAAGGACCCAGAGGAGGCAGCTGCTCTGGACCCAGAGCTTTCCACCCTGTCCAGGAAGAGCACAGACCCCCTGGAGCCTCCCAGGGGCTGGGAGGAGGCAGAGCCAGAGGCCCCGTGGGGAGCGGAGGCTGGGCTCCCTGCCGAGACCAAGTGCCCCTCTCACTGTGGAAGCAGTAGCGGTACCCCTCAGCCCAGGCCCCTGGGGTCAGAGGAAGCAGGAGAAGATGCAGAGCTAGTGCTGGGGCCCCCCAGCCCAAGGCCCACTGAGCCCCGGGCGCCCACCCCAATCCCTGGAGATGCCCCTGGGCTCCAGCTCCTGGCTGAGGGGAGCCAGGAGGCTGGCTGGGGACTGGAGGGGGAGCAGGAGAAATTGGGTTCTGAGGGGAGCCCTGAGGATCTCCAGGAGGAGGGGGAGGAGAACAGAGAAGACAGCGAGGCTGATGAGCTTGGGGAGACTCTTCCTGACTCCACTCCCCTGGGCCTCTATCTCCGGTCCCCAGCCTCCCCCACGTGGGGCCTGCGTGGCGAGCAGAGGCCCTCCCCTCAAGGGGAGGCCAGAGAGGAAGGCTGGGCTCCTTCTGTCCCGGCCCCTGAGGGCTGTGGGGCTCAGCCGGGGGAAGAGGAGGAGGAGGAGGAATGTGGTCAGGACTCGGACTTGTCCGAGGAGCTTGAGGACCTGGAGGCCGAGGGTTCTCTCCTTCCCGGCCCCCCTGGGGAGGCTGTGGAGCCTCCAGGCCGAGCGTCTCAGCTGCTGCTGGAGCCTGCGGCCTGGGACGGGGGCGGGGAGTCCGATGGGTTTGCAGATGAGGAAGAGAGTGGTGGGGAGGACGGGGAGGAAGAAGAGAGGAGGGAGCCAGGGGCTGGCCGCTGGGGCCCCCTGCCACCCCTGAGTGGCCCTCAGAGGGGGAACTTCCTGGGGTCCGAGGCCGCAGAGGGCGGCGTCCCCTGGGATGATGGCCTGAGGGGCATGGAAGCCGGTGTCCGCGTGACTGCCCTGGAGACTGAGTCCCAGGACAGCACGGAGCCCTCGGAGGGCTCCGAGGAGGAGTCTGGCCCTGTTCCCTTGGAGAGGGAGGACCCGGCCCCTGGCCCTCTGGGAACCCTCAGCGGGGTGGGAGACCTGGGCCTGGGAGTGGGGGACAGCCGGGGTGTCAATGGCCAGGGCCCCAGCCTGAAGGAGGAGTTAGAGCGTGTGAACGGGGGGGTGGTAAATGGGCTGCAGCCGTCCGAGGGGGGGGAGCAGGGGAAACTGGGGGGCCCTGAGGCGGACCAGGGCAGCCCCTTGGAAGAGGAGGGGGACGAGGGGGGTGCCCTGAAGGCCCCTTGGGCAGGACCTCCTCTTCACCTTGGCGTGGGCCAGTTCCTGAAGTTCACTCCAAGGGAAGGAGATGTCGACTCGTGGTCCTCAGGGGAGGACTAGAGAGAGCTCCTCCTCCCTCACTCTGAGGACTGGGGGGGGGGGTGTGCGCACGCACGTGCGTGTCAGGGGGGTCCCTAAGCCCCCTCCCTGCTCAGAGGCAGCACCCTTAAGTTAGGATCCCTTGACCTGTGTGGCTTCTGTCCCAGAGGCCTGGCCGGCCAAGGTGAAGCAGGGTGTGGCATGGGGATGCGTCCCAAGAACGGAGGCTCCAGAATGCAACCCAGCCCCTCGGACCCGGCCGTCCCGCGAAGCTTCAGCCCGCTGAACCACTGTAGCACTAGGCCCCTTTCCTCCCACACCCCTTCTCCCCCCTCCTGCCATCTGGACAGGGCTCCTCCCAGGGGAGGGGGCTGTGGTGGTCCTCACCACAGGGCTCACCAGCCCTGTCCCCCCTCGCTGCACCCTCCCGGGGTGTCTGGCCACTGGGTGAGGGGGTGCTCCTAGGTCCTGACTCCCGTATTCCTGCCATGTTGTGTCTGGCTCATCCCTGCCTGAATAAAGTAGTTCTTCCGCCCCCGAAGTCTGGACTCTTCCTTCCCCAGTGTGGGGGCTCCTCAGGGCCGGGCGGAGTAGAGGAGACAGGGTGGCTGGGGAAGAAGCTAATGTTGGAGAGGGGCTGCCTCTGAGGAGAGAAGGAACTGGAAGGCCTCATGGGGCCCAGGGAGGGCTGGGTGGCAGTCCAGGTGACCCCAGTGCTGGCAGAAGTCAGGCCCATCATCATCTCTGCCCACAGCGCTGATGACAAGGATTAGGCCTGGGGCCACCCCACCTTGTGCCCCCACCTCCCTCCCCTCCCCCCCCCCCCCCCCCGGCCCCTCAGTGCCGCCGGGATAATGAGCCCCTTGCCTCCAAACCCAAACAGTCGTCTGGCCTGCGATGTTGGCTCCAAGTGGCTGGGTGAAGAGCAGGATGGGGGAGGCTGTGTGGCCTCTGGTCAGCATTTAACCTCTCTGGGCCTCAGACTCAGCTGCAGTGAGGGGCACTGGGCTGGGTGACAGGGAAGGGGTTGGGGGGGTGCCTTGGGGGCAGGAAGAGCAGGAGGAGGCTGGGGAAGGCCGGGGAAGGGGGCGGCTGCAGCTTCGATCTTCGGTGGGACTTGCCTCCCGAAGATGGGACGAGGCCGTGAGGTGGGGGTAAACCGAAGCTGTCAGGTGTGAAGGAGCCAGGGCCTGTGCTGTCAACTGGGGTTCGGCCTGGGGGCCCCCCAGCCACAGCTTCTCCCCACCCCCACCTCTCTCCCCGGGAATGCTCCGGGTCTCTGTGAGGGGCAGGGAGAGACCAGGGGTTCCCAGGTTAGATGGGGCCCGAGGCCTTGAAGTCAGGATAGCCGGAGAGAAACCGTTCCTGGCTCGGCTCTGCGGGAAGGAAGGGCCGGCAGCCCCTCCAAGTGTCCGGCTGGGGGCGCGGTAGGGGCGACTGAACCAATGTTCCACATCTGGAGGCCGGCCCAAGTCCGGGGAGCGGGCTCTTCCTCTCCCCAGGCCCAAGGCTGAGGGCAGGGGACAACGAGAGGATGGAATCCCAGCCCCAGTCCCAGCTCCGCTGGCTCGCACTCGGGTCCTCTGGCCAGAGAGGGGTGGATGGACAGGAGGCGTCCCGAGAGGCCCCCACTGTCTCCCTCTCCACTCAGGAGTCTCTGTCTTGGGCGCCGAGGCCCTCATGTCACGCACCCCTGCCCTTGGGTGCAGGATCCTGTCTGTCACCACCCTTCTGGCAGCCCAAGGCCCCTGCTCTCCTTCCTGCACCCACTGCTGGCAAGGCCTGGTCTGATCCCGCCGGCCTGCCGGGCCTGGGGGCCAGCACTTTGGCATCCAGGCAAGTAGGGCCCACCCGCTGCCCCTCTTCATGGGACAGAGGAGCCCTGTGCTTGATGTCCCCAGGCCCTCGGGCACCGCCGCCCGGGCCAGGGGCCAAGGACAGAGGCCACGCCAAGCGGTCCTTCCCTGTCCCCGGGTGTCCCTCCTGCCCCCTGATGCTGGGATCCCTGGTCCCCTACAGAGTCACCCCCAGAATCCTGAACAGGGGGAAGGATGTGAGTTAGACAGAAGTCAGGACTTCTGGAAAGGGGGTAAGTAGTGGAAGGCGTGTTCTCTTTGGAAACGGCAGTCGGTCGATGCAGCAAGAGAAATGAAGGTTGGACAGTAACAGGGCCATTCCGGGAGGTGAAAAGAGGAGTGTCACTTTTCAACAGATATTTGCTGAGCACCTACTATGTGCCGTCACCGTGCAGACACCGGGAATCCAGGGTTCCTTGCTCCCTTCTAACTGAACAAGGGCTCCTGAATGGAAGTCACATTTGAAGACAGAGCCAAGGAGGAGGTTGTGGGAGTGCAGAGCCGAGGGGCAGGGAACCTCACCTGATCTGGGCGGGG